GGAACTGCTGAATGGCAGGTGGAGGTTCGTCATTACCAATACTATCATGCGAGCTATTGCGTTGTACGTTTATCATATCACTCCTTATCGTATCTTCTAGGCCGACATCAACCATCCGATCTTTCCCGAGAGAGTTGCTGCCCGCGCTGCGCCTGTCGTTCCCTTCATTCCCGTCGCTCTCATCTCGTTGCTCGAATGTTCTGGCTCCCAAGACCGGAGTGGAATCACTAGATCTAGTGGCCCGCCAGGAGCTCTTGATACCTCCGCCTCTTCCGCGGCCATTGCTATGGCTACTAGCAGAAGCACCTATACTATCTTCAGAGTGCTTGCCATCGTTATCTACTTCGGATGACTCCTCCAGATGCCTAGAGTCAAAATGGCGCCGAGATCTCTGCAAAGCATAAAAATCTGCAATTTCTCGTTCGTGCTCTTGCTCGTCATCTTCCTCTCTGAATTCATCAGCTGCGCTGTAAAAGAGGGGTGCATGCTGTATGGAGGCCCGTGAGGAAAATGGGAAGTGCGAAATGTGAGAAGAGCTTGGTTGGTAAGGGTTGCCAAGAGCGCGGTGAAGATAAGATCTTGAGGCTGGATTTCGGGAAGATCCAGGAGCCTGGTTAAATCTTCTATTGTGGCGGTCTGAGGCTTGTCTATCGTTGTTATCAGGACTGAAAGCTATTCTGGACTGGGACTGTGCGAGGAATCGGGACGCATCTGAGTTAGTTAGGTGGTTAGTGATTTTATGACGTGACTGGGGAGCGTAGTGTGGGTAAGGGCCCTCCATACATTCTGAAAACATAGCTAGCTAGATTCAGTCCAGTCGCGGACATAGAGAGTGGTGTACCAAGGCTAGATGTATGGCTGTATGGCAGTATGGGGAGTTATGGAGAAGAATAAATGGCAGACGGTTACGGGCACACGACCACTGGTGGTGGGAGGATGTGAAATCTTTTTGAAACTGGTTAGTGGCAGCGGCAACCTTGTGTAAGAAAGAGTCGGTAAATAATTAAAAAGGTCAACATAGATGCAGCACCAGCAAAAGCCCTACGAAAGATAAGACATCATAGAGAGAGGAGGCATAGAGGCCATAGAGAAGAGCAGAGAAAGCGTACAAAGAAGAAAAGTGAAAAGGGATGATAGAGGAAGTTGAGGGTTGAAGCTGAGGAATGACGCCAGGAAACCAGTCACGCCGCAAGTTAACTAACTACTCCCTAGGTATGACTCAGCAGGCAGCTGTCGGGGGATTAGGTCATCCCCATGTCATATGCTTCTGCTCATCCAAAGGTTGTTTACCGTAAATTATACTGAATATATAAATATCCACGGATATATATATTAAATGTCAATGTTACGGGTACACCACCGAGAGGACAGATGGGATTGAGCCACCTGGTTGCCCTGATTTGAGCATCCCCGGCCTCAGGTTCCTCAACTACCTAGGTAGAACTCCATCTCACAGCTTTGGATTTCTCCCTCCCATCCCACATCGTGCAATTCAATCGCCGTCCGATTCCGCTGCCTTGTCCGATCACCGTGCTATCTCCGAATCTCTACGCAGTACATACGTCTCCGTTGTGCTCACTTCACGGTTATTTCCTTCTTTGTAATTGCGGCTGGCACTATTTCCCAGCAATATCTTCGGGTTGCTGTCCGAACAGTCTGCCTTTAGCTCCTCCTTCGGATAACTTGCAGTTGCGTTCATGTCGCAGCCATGGGATTACATCGCAAAACTTGTCTGTATTGGCGATTCCGGCACTGGTAAATCCAGCGTGTGCTCCCCTTCCAACTTACATCTCATCTTAGAGTATTTCTATCACATTACGTCCAACTAACCCTTATTTGCCCAGCTCACCATCCGCCTCTGTGAAGGTCGTTTCTCCCCATCCCACGATGTAACAATCGGTGTCGAGTTCGGCTCCCGCATCGTCCCCGTCGGACCCCCAGCCTCGGATTTCTTGGGAATAGACTTTGACCTTCCACAATCACCTTCTCCTGCTCCATCATCCCACCTTCCAATTATCACCCCACCACAAACGAGAATTGCTAACCCAACCGCCTCCAACTCCCTCGGTCCAACGACGTTAATAGACGTCAGAGATTGTTCCAGACCAAAACTGTATCAGCAAAAACCACCACTACAGCAACCCTCTGGCTTGCCTTCCCTTCCCCGCAAACAACAATCTCCACCGGTCCAGAAACGTATGAAACTCTCCCTCTGGGACACCGCGGGCCAAGAATCGTATAAATCTATCACTCGCTCATACTTCCGCGGTGCGTCCGGTGCCCTCCTAGTCTTCGACATCACACGACCCTCCACCTTCGCCTCCCTAACGCAATGGCTGCAAGACCTGCGCCAGATCGCCGAGGAAGGTATCGTGGTCATCCTTGTTGGAAATAAGAGTGATCTTGCTGCGCCTTCTCAAGGGAGAAGTGATGGCACTGGCGACTGCGGTAAACAGCCTAAAGAAGCCATAGTTACAAGAGAGGAAGCGGAGGCTTGGTGCCGAGCGAATAATGTATCTCGGTACGTGGAGACGAGTGCAAAATCCGGGGAAGGGGTTGAAAGGGCGTTTCTGGAGGTCGCGGAACGAATATACCGGAACATTGAGGCCGACAGGTATGACTTAAATGACCGGCGGAGTGGAGTTAAAGGGTTTGGAGCTACCGGGGGAGCGGGTGGTGGAGGTCGCCCTCAGAGGACTGTTACACTGGGCGTTAATGATGCGATGGAGTCAGGCAAGGGTGGGTGTTGTTGATCGCATTCGTTTTGCTCTCTCTTAAGAATTCTTTATTGTTGTTGATTGTATTTCCTCTCGCTTCTTGGACGGTTCACTCTGCGGCTTTCAATGCCCATTTCTCGGGTAAAAGGACTTCTTATATCACTACCCGTTGCATGTCCCCTTTATGTCTCTCTCTATTATATTTATTAGGCTGCGTCACAAACAAATTTTATTTTCTTTTCCTC